CAGCTAAAGGTGACATAGATACTTTATTGTGGTATAGTATTTAAATATTTGCCTGAGAAGCACATAATATTGGCCCTTTAATATATTATTATTTATCACTGGGTTGGTTTTTTAAACCTGGGCATGTTTTCCTGCAGAGGACGATTCCCCTGCACGTGTCAAAATAAAGCTTTAACTTTTGACATGGGTTCAAGGTTACAGTGTTTACTTTAAGGCTGCAACTATCATTTATTTTAATAATTGAATAATTGTTTGAATATTTATTTAGTTATTGTTGATGAATCTGAAAAAAAAAGTATTTTGACCTCTTTATTCCAAAATAGAAAAATTAAACTGGCATAGCAAGTCACATTAAAAAAACATGTTGCTTTTGAGTATTCTGTTACTATAATATTGAATAGTAATACATAAATAAATATTTGTCAGAGAGCTTCCGTAAAAAAACTGAATGTACACAAAAATATATAAATGTGTGCTATGTCCTTGAAAGTCTCTTCATAGTTTCTGTCCATGAGTTTTGTAAAATGTGTCCTTGAGGAAAGAGACCTGTAATAAAAGTGTGTACTACTGTAGTGAATACAGTACTACTACTGTCTCTGACCAGGGACAGTCTCATGTCAGKGATATGTTAAGAAGAMTTTCAGRTCCCATTTATACGCAGCTGCTTTTAAATGAAACAGTAAGATTATTGCTGTGATCCAATCATTCTTGTACACAACCCTGGTGGTCAGAGCCTGTGACACCAGCACTTTTTAAAACCAGCTCTCAGAGTGGATGTTTTCTGTAACACCCCCTACATATGTGTGAGAGCACACATGCACACACAGCCGGCACACAGAGSCTACAGCAAAAGTTTCTTCTAAACTAACAGTRATAAATTCAGACAACAGWGTGTTGTTTGTGTTACTCACCCTTTGCAAAACTAAAAACCATCCTAGGCCCAAAGGAATGTTAGTTTATTCACTAAATTTGGACGTAACTGTGATCATGSAGACACTGTGCATGAGTGAGACCAGCATCAGGGTTGCCAGATAAAAACAAGTTTGTTTTTTGCCCCTCTTTTTCTGTGCACATTATCAACAAACACAACAAACATTGTTTACCCTCACTTAGCATATATGACAGTTTGGGTCTAAATCAAAGAATCTTAAAGGGACAGTACAACAGTTTACTATGTCCCATATGCAGGGGTGTCAAACTCATTTTCACTGAGGGCTACATGAGCGTTATGTTGGCTCTGAAAGGGCCAGTTGTAATTAATTTCAGAGTTTTGTGCTGAAGGGGGTAGRCTTAAGGTGAATTAAGCCTTTCTACATATCTCTCATAAGGTTATGAGGAAAGTTTTACCAAGGTATTTTCTCATTACTTTAATATCTTGACTGTGCGAAGTGAAAAGTGACACAATAAGTGAACGTTCAGACGAGTTCAAGTTGATTCATAAAGACTATGCAATCATTTATTTACACAAATTGAACAGATCATAAGTACACTTAATTGTGGTTATTCCTATAACAAGCGTCAGAGTTAAATGAGATAAAACTCGCGTCCGAATTTTAATTCACATTAAACTCAGATTACTTATATATAGAACAGTAAAACGTCAGTTCTGATGTAACAACCAAACAATTTACTAGCACTGTTTAGCTTAAGTTTTGGCAAATAAAGACAAAGGAAAGGATGAAAGTAAGATTAGTATTATACTAAGTTTTACTTTATCAAGTGTTGTTCAACCGGATCAGCAYGTCCTTTCTGCGCTTAGATTTCCACATGACACGTCACCCAGAACAAGTCAGTTTTGACCTGGTGATGGCTTCTTAACCAAACCCTGGGTAGTGACTGCTTCACCTCCGATCAGTCAGGGAACGTTTTAATCRRCCCGCTCACTGTTCCTCGGCGAAAAGGTGTTATTTCAGGCAACTTTTCGTCTGCTTCGATTCAAGCCAGAAAGATTCAAGCTGATGCATCCGGTTTCTCCTTTCAAAATAAAATCTCCYCTCGGGAGGTAAAACACTTGGAGACTTGTAGTCTCGGGTGGGACAGTCGGTGGCGTGCCACTGTCCCGGCCGTTAGATCCCCCTAATTGGCTCATGGGCAAGACCTAACGGGCCAAGCTGGCTTCTCCGGAGAGAAACACAGTGTTCCTTCCCAGTTCGGCATCCAGGAAGAAGTGTTCCGTCACTCAAAGATGTCCATGTTAGTAATAGAAGCGGATGACTTTGGTTCCGCCCTCAGGTGTAAAGATGAGTCAGAGGAAAGAAGATAAAGAGATTTGCTAGCCAGGCGCCAGCTCAAGGCTAAAATTCTGTGGTTGTCACAACAGAATATGATAACATTTCTTTAGCTTTTTCTTCTGATAGACTCTAAAAGAAATCACTGTAAAACATTTATGATGATTAATTAACATTTCTATTTAAGTAATCAGTCTGAACCATTTGTTAGTCCAGATAAATGAAAGATTTTCTCAAGAAAAACCCACAATTATATTACTGTGTTCCCAGTAAAATAAAAACAGTGATTTATATAAAAACACTATGAAAACATGGTAATGATTTTCTCTGTGATTTTTTATACCATTAATTACTCTTTTAGGCATGATAAAAGAGTAGAAGTGATTCCACTTTCTTGTGACAGTCATTATTTGATTTAACAAATGCATAAACATTCTTAGTTAAACAACAAATGAATCACGAACAGAAGAGATTGTTCTGTCCATTATCTGATTAAGAGAACTGAGGGGTTCTCTTCCACGGTTAGAAGACCTGTCATGGCCTAAACAGTTTGTGACAGAGTTCCTGTCCTCTCGTCAGGCCTGTCTGAGGCCTGCTTWGAGGCAGTAAATCTTGTTTCTTCACYCGAGGTGACCCCTACAGTGCTTAACTTCAACATAAAATTTGTCTCATTGTTACGGCTGACCACTGCTAGCAAACAATAACTGAGCTCTACCTGGTATTTCCTGCACAGAAACTGTATTAACACTTCCTCATAAACACTCAAAATTACTACATGTATGACTTGCTAAATGTGAGATGAATAAAACAGAAATACTATTGAATGTAAAAGAGAGTTTTAAGCTTGGATTATACTTCAGTAAGACATAAGGCAGCAGGTTAGAGATTGGGTAATTTTGAACGTCTTTTTCCTGAACAAGTATAAACGAGCTGAAGACACGACGGTCTATAAATTATTATAGATCTTCCTTCTGCCCTACCACAGCTCATATAAGTACATAAACAGCCATAAAGCTGGCTGGGTATTGTGGGTTTTTTATCACTCAATGATTGTGTCGTGTTGGGTGAAAAAGAGTCTGTGGTGGAAAAATTTAAAAAAATTTACGGTGGAAAATCTGAAAATCAGCTGCATGCTCACGTTCATTAGGATCAAATTAGTGTCTGATTTTCATTTGTTCATTTTCATATATTTTTTTATTTCTTATTACTTTTGTCAGATTCTAGTTATTTCTGTGACCATTGTGGGTTTTGTTTCATTAAACAAGGGCTACCGACAGTTTTGTCCACATGTGTAACTAAAACGAAACAGAAAATGAAGTGAAGGCTGAACTAGAAAAACAAAACCATAAACTCAAAGTTAAGATAATAAAACTCGACACAGTAATCTTTGAATTGTTTGCTTTATCTACACTTGGAACCAGATGTGTACATACAGTGTATAAAAGAAGAACCTTTTTTCTCACTAGCTTTGTTCTCATGTGATTGAATAACAGATTAGATAAGCTGAATGGATCCTTTCTATGGGCAAACAATGAATTAATCTGATCACGACGAGTGTTTTCATGCACCAGACCTTTATTTAGAACAGAAGTTCTGATAAACACAGAGTGTTAACTTTCCCTAAAAACCATGCACACATGAGCAGTCAGGTGAGTTTTCTACAGGGAGAAAAACCTGATCAGAATAAGAGTTTATTACAGGAACACTGTTCAGATTATCAAACAAGAACGGTTTAGTTTGATTTAATAAGAGTAGAGAATGAACTGGTYGTGTTTGTTGATAAGATAAATGTGAACATGTGTTCAGTGGAAGAACACACTCCTCTGATGTTTGATGAGCTTCTGCTGATGTCCTGTTTTCTTCTGCCTTCTTTCAGGTCACTCTTCCAGTTCTCCAACACAATACTCCCCCTCTCACACACAGACGGACTCTTCAGGGGTCCCCCTGCTCCGGTCCTCAGTGAGGACATGAGTCTCCTGTTGTGTGTGGACATGTGTCTACAACATGGACATGTGTCCACAACATGGACATGTGTCCACAACATGGACATGTGTCTACAACATGGACATGTGTCCACAACATGGACATGTGTCTACAACATGGACATGTGTCCACAACATGGACATGTGTCTACAACATGGACATGTGTCTACAACATGGACATGTGTCTACAACATGGACATGTGTCCACAACATGGACATGTGTCCACAACATGGAGGAACCCGTTGCACTGGAGCCTGTGGCTGAGCCCAGCTCCTCTGTTGGACAAGAAAGAAAATGTGAACATTGACATGTTGTGAAGGACTGGAGTGAACTCAGGGTTGTGTGTTTGTCTACATGTTTATGTTTGTGTAAAAACTGCAGATGTTTATTTGAAGGATTACCAAGGCTCTGTCACACTACATGTTAGACAGTTTATGCCGACATAAGCAAATTGTGGCCAACACTAGTGTAAGTGTCCTAATTTGTAAAAGTTTAGAATAATTTCTCGGCAGGCTGATCTATGATTAGCCAATCATTTTGGACATGCTCAAAGTTTTCAGATTATGGTGATGTGCAGCTGATCTGTGAGTCATGTTACAGGTACGCTACAGAGAATTCATTCAAGCTCATATTATGTTAGATTTCATTAGTTACTCATAAGTGGATATATGTCTAAAACAAGCAGGTAGTTCTGAAGCTAACTATAACTTTTAACAGCTAACTTATTTTGAACCGAACCTTTACTTCTGCAGAGCTTTAGCCTGTTAAAACCAGACCCTGTCCTTCACTTTGCCTCATACGAGGGTCGGGACTCTCAACTATAGAGAAGTGATTCTTGCAGGAGGCGTGGCCTCTACTGAAGTTTAAAATGATTGGATCGGCTGTCCGTGACGAATGTGTGCCAACTCCACTGTGAAGGAAGCAAAGCTAAGAAGCTAACCAGATATCAACCCTACTGAGAGGAGAGAAGTACCGAGCTGAACSAGACRACTGTAAATGAGAGCTGCTGCTTTGTCAGATAAATTTATTTTAATACGAAGCCTTATCAACACAGACTGGCTTCATTCACTTCCTCCACCAACATAGCTAAACTAACTAGCAGACACTGCACAGAAAATCAACGTTGTTCAAAACTCCGCCTTCTGTTTGCTGATTGTCCRTCCGTTCGTCCGTTCTCCTCCTCTTATCCAGGGTCAGGTCTCGGGGGCAGCAGCCTCAGCAGAGACCCAGACTTCCCTCTCTCCAGACACTTGGACCAGCTCCTCTGGGGGAACTCCAAGGTGTTCCCAGACCAGCTGAGAAACATAGTCCCTCCAGCGTGTCCTGGGTCTTCCTCTGGGTCTCCYCCCAGTGGGACGTGTCCAGAACACCTCACCAGGGAGGAGTCCAGGAGGCATCCTAACCAGATGAACCACCTCAACTGGCTCCTCTGGACGTGGAGGAGCAGCGGCTCTACTCTGAGTCCCTCCTGGATGACTGAGCTTCTCAGCCTATCTCTAAGGGAGAGCCCAGMCACCCTGCAGAGGAAACTCATTTCAGCTGCTTGKATCTGTGATCTCCTTCTTTCAGTCACTACCCAAAGCTCCTGACCATAGATGAGGGTAGGAACGTAGACCCACTGGTAAACTGAGAGCTTCACCTTCTGGCTCAGCTCTCTCTTCACCACGATGGACCGGTACAACGCACACATCACTGCAGACGCAGCACCAATCCACAAGTTGATCTCCTGCTCCATTCTTCCCTCATTCATGAACAAGACCCTGAGATACTTAAACTCCTCCACTTGGGGCAGGACCTCCTCCCTGACCCGGAGGATGCACTCTACTCTTTTCCAGCTCGAGACCATGGTCTGGGATTTGGAGGCACTGATCCTCATCCCATCTGTGAACCGCTCCAGTGAGAGCTGGAGATCAGGATCTGATGAAGCCAACAGGACCACATCATCCACAAAAAGCAGAGATGTGATCCTAAGGTCACCAAAAAGGATCCCCTCAACACCTYGGCTGCTCCTAGAAATTCTGTCCATAAAAGTTATGAACAGAATCAGTGACAAAGRACAACCTTGGYRGAGTCCAACTCTCACYGGAAACRAGTCYGACTTACTACCAGCAATGTGGACCAAGCTCTGGCACTGGTCCTACAGGGACGTAACAGCCCGTATCAACGGGCCTGGTACCCCATACTCCCGGAGTACCCCCCACAGGAGTCCCTGAGGGACACAGCCGAACGCCTTCTCCAAGTCCACAAAACACATGTAGACTGGTTGAACTCCCATGAACCCTCCAGGACCCTGCTGAGGGTGTAGAGCTGGTCCTGTGTTCCATTACCAGGACCAAAATCACACTGCTCTTCCTGAATCTGAGATTCAACTATCTGAGGGACCCTCCTCTCYAGRACCYCTGAATAGACCTTACCAGGGAGGCTCAGAAGTGTGATCCCCCTATAGTCGGAACACACTCTGTGGCCCCCCTTTTTAAATAGGGGGACCACCACCCCGGTCTGCCAATCCAGGGGAACTTCCCTCGATGTCTACGCGATGTTGTAGAGTCGCGTCAACCAATGCAACCCCACAACATCCAGAGCCTTAACGAACTCTGGGTGAATCTCATCCACCCCYGRCGCCCTGCCACCAAGGAGCTTTTTAACCACCTCGGTGACCTCAGCACCAGAGATTGGTCCCCCCCGGGACGCTGGATGGTGGACCAGAATCACCTCGAAGCCGTGCTGAAGTCTTTTTCCATGGCCTCTCTGAACTCCTCCCACACCCGAATTGTTGCCTTAGCAACCACCCGAGCCACAATCCGCTTGGACTGCCGATACCTATCAGCTGCTTCCAGAGTCCCACAGGTCAAAAAGACCTGATAGAACTCCTTCTTCTGCCTGAGAGCATCCCTCACCACCAATGTCCACCAGCGGGTTCGAGGGTTGCCGCCACGACAGACATCGACAACCTTACGACCACAGCTCAGGTAAGCCAACTCAACAATGGAGGCACAGAACATGGCCCACTCTGACTCAATGTCCCCCACCTCCCCAGGAACGTGTTTGAAGTTCTCCTGGAGGTGTGAGTTCAAGCTCTGTCTGACAGGAGACTCTGACAGACGTTCCCAGCAGACCCTCACTATTCTTTTGGGTCTGCCAGGTCTGACCATCATCCTCCCCCACCAACGGAGCCAACTCACCAACAGGTAGTGGTCAGTTGACAGCTCCGCCCATCAATCCATGATGAGCACAGAAGTCCAACAACAAAACACCACTCAGGTTCAGGTCGGGGGGGCGTTCCTCCCAACCACACCTCTCCAGGTCTCACTATCATTACCCACGTGAGTGTTGAAGTCCCCCCAGCAGAACGAGGGAGTCCCCGTTAGGAGGTCTTCACAGCACCCCMTCCAAGGACCCCAGAAAGGGTGGTAATCTGAACTGCTGTTAGGCTCATGTACATATATACTGTGTGTGTGTGTGTGTGTGTGTGTGTGTGTGTGTGTGTGTG